TATTGGAAGTTGAATTAAAGATCAAAGGCATTCGAATGGAATTTATATGGTCGATCAGTATGGCACAAAAATCGAGGTCATACTTTACTACATCTTTATGCTTTATGGAACATGTTGATATTGGTAAATGCATGAATAAGATAATATTTGTCACTTTTGTGGAGTTGAATAATTTATACACTCGATATGAATGTGATAGAAATTCTGTAACTGAATACGAATCGAATGACTAATATAAGAGATTGAGGAATTGTTAGAATTAAATTACAAGTTTGTGATTAGTGATAAAGAAATCAACCCTAGATTTGTAACTTTTATTTTATATCATCAAAGGTAAAATGTTAAAGGCACTTGGATGGGAAATTATGAGAATACTTTGGTAGGATAAAATTATGAAAATACCCTTATATTGTAAGATGACAAGAATTGTCCCTGGAAGTTGGTTACTGAAAAGACATATTGATTCGATAAAATTTTATATGTGCATAAGAAATGCTAGTTTTGCTTAGAAAATACAATAACCGGTTTTTAAACCAAGAGGGCTTGTGCAATATACTAGAAGTCGATTAAAGAATCATTTCAAGATCAAAGAATGTTCGGGAAAGCAATTAATCATAGGATCTCTAAATTATATTATTTGGTTAAGAGTTAATACCGAAATTATCTGGTTAATAAATTACAAAAATACCCTTGAGAGGTAAAATAATCTGAGTTGACACTGAATGAGAAAGTACTTTGAGGATTTGTAGTTAACTCGATGAAGTATGGATTTAATTGTTAAGATCCTGTCTGTGTACAGAAAAATTCATGATATTTGTTTGTTAAATCTGAGAAGACACTTGACCCGAAAATATCCGAGTTATGAGTAAATACCTGAAGAACAATTTATCGGAGGGTGCTCTTTTATCAAAATTGTTCGAAGGGACTGAAATAGATGATAAATTGGAATTAAATAATAAACCGGATGGAAAGAAAATATTGAAAAAACGTAGATATGTAAAATGACCAAAATACCCCTTTAATGGAAATGACTCGAGAATATCACCAAGCTCAGGAATGATTGGATATCCTCGAGCTCTGAAAAGAATAGAATGAAGCTGAGCACCAGAATGACCAAATACCCTTATGACCTAGACTAAGTAGATGTTGGATTAATTAAGGAATTCAAATAAACATGGGTGTGGTACTTATCTTAAAAGTTATGGATCAAATATTAAACCGAGCAACCAATGCTAGTGTTATATCAGTACCTGAACGACATAGATGTCACTTGAATGCGTGTTTGTATTTTCAAGTTTGGCTCGATGATAGTTTTGGAAGTATCAGCTCAGCTCAACTTTAGAACGCATTCAGTAGTAAGGATTTGATATTTGTTAGACAAATCGACCACGAAGACCGAATTGAATTGAACGGAAGTACAATATATATCCGAAATTTAGAAATTTTTGAATTACCCTGAAAAACTCGAAATAACGGGAATGGACATGACTGCTAAATGAATTAGGTAACCTCAATGAATGAGGATTTAGTAAGTAATTTGGATAAGTCTTGAAACTCTAATGAGTTTACATAGTGTACAATTACGATGGTTTATGATTAAAATAATCAAGTACGTCAGCATTACATGATATTGTGGAAACGTGGAAATGAAATAAAGACAATGGAAGATCTATTCAGTGATGATTCTGAAAAATGATCTATGGACAAGAATTTGTGGTGTTAAAAAAAGTAAATACCCTGGAAGAACAATGAATTGATCAATCGACAAGCATTAGTTTTGAGAGCTATTTATCTAAGAGTTGTTTGATAATCCGATCAATCGATATAGACTGTAAATGTCTTGAACCTTCATTTCTTCCTTACCAGCTCAAGTTATATTCTGAATAATTGATGATTTCGTCAGTTATTGAACTCTTCCAATAGTAATTCTGAATTCTGATATTCTATCGGTATACTGAAGATCTATGTTCTCTACCTGTTAATATATCTAGTGCCTCTGAATAATACCTGTAAACTCTGGTGTGTTCCTTAATTACATGAATATTTTATCTGATTTCTTATTTGAATTTTGTTATGATACCTGACCTGGATTCAGATATGATATTGACATGGATTCTGATCTAATACATGACCAGGATTCTGATCTGATACTTGACTTGAATTATGTTTTGATTTTTTATATATCTGTTTACGGACGGAACATGTTTTATTGGGGGGTATCGTTGGAGGAAGAATACTTGGAGGCTCATCAGCTTTGTGCTCAGGGCTTACTTGCAGGCTCCTCGCTTTGTGCTCAGGGCCTTACTATTCGTGACGGGGTTGTATGTTTATGGGGAACCTACACATTTTGTTCGTGACGGATGTGGGTATATATATGTTTTTTTTAAAAATATCTAAAAAGTTACATGGTTTTTGGGAACACACTAGATAACCTATTATGATCTCCTGAACTCAGTCATCTGAAATATTTCTCTAAATTGAAAGCTCATTGTCCGTTATCACCTGTAATATTAGTAGGATCTCTACTCAACCTAAAAATATATAGATATCATAACCAATAAGGAAATATATGTCTATTTGTATCTGCACGTTCTTCAGCATCATCTGGTAGTTTTGTATTACTGAGATTTCCAAAGCTCACTCTGTTACTCATCTTTTCAGGTTAAAAGAATCGTACCAGTATATCTATCGATATCAGTAAGGGAGTTCTTCCGGTGTTGCAGAGTATGGTACATGTAATTAGGGGGCATGTAATTGTATTTGGTTTTATATACGAGTCTGAAAATCTGTTTTTTTTAAATAGTGACAAATGATTTTATAAGTTTACATGTTTTAATAAAAGTTTTAAATTTTTCGCTATTTTTTACAGTGGGTCGCTCCGGTGACCCTAAGTGACTTCCCGGATCGGATCGAGTTACTCTTATCGGTATGAGGGGGTTACATTTAGTGGTATCAGAGCTAGTTTGAGTCAAACTTTTCATGATAGACCGCCCGGTCGAATATCAAAATATGTCTGATCAGTACATGCCCTAGACTACAATCGTACCTCTCTGAGCCGGAACTCCAGGGCTGAGTTCCTATCTGTAATGAGTAAACTGAAGTATCTATTCGTTAAGGTTATACTTGTACAAAAATGAATACCAGTAACATCTGTCTAAACGTTGTAAAGTACGTCAGCATTTCATGATATTGTGGAAACGTGGAAATGAAATGAAGACATTGGAAGATCTATTCAGTGATGATTCCGAAAATGATCTATGGATAATGATTTGTGGTATTAAAAAAGTAAATACCCTGGACGATCAATGAATTGATCAATCGACAAACATTAGTTTTGGAAGCTATTCATCTAAGAGTTGTTTGATAATCCGATCAATCGACGTAGACTGTAAATGTCCTGAACCTTCATTTCTTCCTTACCAGCTCAAGTTATATTCTGAATAATTGATGATTTCGTCAGTTATTGAACTCTTCTAATAGTAATTTGAATTTCGATATTCTATTGGTATACTGAAGATTTGTGTTCATCTACTTGTTAATATATCCAGTGCCTCTGAATAATACTTGTAAACTCTGGTGTGTTCCCTAATTACATGAATATTTTATCTGATTTCTGATTTGAATTTTGTTATGATACCTGACATGGATTCTGATATGATATTGACATGGATTCTGATCTGATACATGACCTGGATTCTGCTCTGATACTTGAGTTGAATTATGTTTTGATTTTTGATATATCCGTTTACGGACGAAACATGTTTTATTGGGGGTATCGTTGGAGGAAGAATACTTGGAGGCTCCTCGGCTTTGCGCTCAGGGCCTTACTGTTCGTGACGAGGTTATATGGTTCTGGGAACATATATATATATGTGTGTTTTAAAAATATCTGAAAAGTTACATGGTTTTTGGGAACACACTATAGAACATATTCCGATCTTCTGAACTCAGTCATCTGAAATATTTCTCTGAACTGAAAGCTCTTTGTCCGTTATCACCTGCAAAATCAGTAGGATCTCTGCTCAACCTAAAAATATGTAGATATTGAACCAATAAGGAAATATATGTCTATCTGTATCTGCACGTTCTTCAACATCATCTGGTAATTCTGTATTACTGAGCTTTCCAAAGCTCACTATGTTACTCATCTTTTCAGGTTAAAAGATTCGTACCAATATATCTATCGACATCAGTAAGAGAGTTCTTCCGGTGTTGCTTGCAGAGTATGGTACATGTAATTAGGGGACATGTAATTGTATTTAGTTTTATATACGAGTCTGAAAATCTGTTTTATTTTTAAATAGTGATAAATGAATTTATAAGTTTACATGTTTTAATAAAAGTTTTAAATTTTCCGCTATTTTTTTTACAGTGGTTCGCTCCGGTGACCCTAATGTGATTTCCCGGATCAGATCGGGTTACTCTTATCGGTATGAGGGGGTTACAATTTTAATGTAACATGAATACATAGTTATCATTCTGTCATTTAAACGATGAACTTTTAACTGAATTGACTCAAAATTGACTTGCAATTATTAAAATACAATCTCGAACATTCTATTAAAATTGATGTCCTACTGTAGCAGTTAAAACATACGTAATAAGTTTACATAATTCAGTGAGGTAGTCTTTGTGCTGACCCATATTAATTAAAAAAATTTAGTGAGGTAATCAAAACTATCATAATAAAGAAGATGATAATGTACAAAGAATAAGAAAGGGATAAAAACCCGAAATTCATAATATGTAATAATAATACATTACGGAGACAACCAGTCAACCACCGTAATAAGCTCAATTAATCGGGACTAATTTATAATATTACAAAAGTAGGAGCCCCGAATTATGCCAGATACATGGATCAAATTCTAAAGCTTGGAATAAGAAAGGGATAGAAACCACGAAATTTAACATCTCGTTTATCTTTTGCTTAGACGCAGCGTTTTGATCCTTTCCCCATTTCCCTATCCCTATCCCTATCCCTATCCGGTGTAGTCGCGTCGAGGTAAAAACACAGATCACGAAATGGTTCCAATGGCCTCCATTCTGACTCAGCCTGGCATCTGCTGCATTAGAATCCATCGGAGAAGCTGCTTTAACACTGTTAGACTTTTCTCTTCAAAGCCGTTAGTTTCCCGTTCAAATCCTCATCGCCCTTTCTCGCACCGGCCGCTCAGAAAACGCTTAGCTCTCGACGTTTCCAGAAGCTTCTCTCAATCTCACCGCCTCCTCAACACCGATGGCCCCACTCTCCATCACTTCATCGCTCAAGCTTCCCTCACGGCCTCTCAATCACAGCCCGAGTAAGTTTCTTTTTCCATTTACTTTTGTTCTTATGCGTGGAATTATTAAGTAAATTTTCAAGGAAGAAACATGGTTTAATTATGAATTTCATGCCTCTATTTACAACAAAAAAAGGCTGAAAAGTTAGTCCGTTTGCCTTTGATTTGTTAAATTTGATTCTCATATTTTACGGAGACTGAGAATTGGCTTCAATTATTGGTAAACACATAACTCGAACTATTTCACTAATTTATTGAATAGAAATCGTTGAACTGTGTTTTTCTTTAATATATATGTTTAATAATATTACTCAAGTGCACTATTTTTTTATATAATAGTATGAGGATCAAATTTTGATAAATTAAAGTAGGAGGAGTAACATTTTAGTTTTCGAGATGAAATTCATAAGTAGATCAAGAGAAAACAAGTACTTATCTTACAATATCTGATGATTTATTTTTTTGGTTTTTAGTATTTTGTCTAGTGGTGCACCGATTTCAGAAGTTGCTTCAAAAGGTAGAATTTATCATGAAACTTACGGATGTCAGATGAATGTAAACGATATGGAAATTGTGCTATCAATTATGAAGAATGCTGGTTATACTGAAACTGTGGAAGTTCCCGAGGGTGCGGAGATTATATTTATTAATACTTGTGCTATAAGGGACAATGCTGAACAAAAAGTGTGGCAAAGGCTTAATTACTTTTGGTTTTTGAAGAGGCGTTGGAAGAGTAATGTAGCTAAAGGAAGATCATTGTCGTTGCACCCTCCGAAAGTGGTTGTGTTAGGATGCATGGCTGAAAGGTTAAAGGATAAGATTCTGGATGCTGATAAGATGGTTGATGTGGTTTGTGGGCCGGATGCTTATAGAGATTTGCCGAGGTTGTTGGAAGAGGTTGATTATGGTCAGAAAGGGATTAACACTCTTCTTTCTCTCGAAGAGACGTATGCAGATATTAGCCCTGTTAGGATTTCGAAGAATTCTGTTACGGCTTTTGTGTCTGTGATGAGGGGATGTAATAATATGTGCTCGTTTTGTATTGTTCCATTTACTAGAGGTAGAGAGAGATCTCGTCCCGTGGAGTCTATAGTGAAGGAGGTGGGGGAGCTTTGGGAACAAGGTGTGAAAGAGGTCACACTACTTGGACAGAATGTGAATAGTTATAATGATGCATCTGGTAGTGAAAAGGAAGTTGAACCAGGAAGTAATTGGGAGTTGAGTGATGGCTTTAAAAGCATGTGTAAGGTAAAAAATATGGGCTTGCGTTTTGCTGACCTTTTAGATCGACTTTCTACTGAGTTTCCAGAGATGAGATTCAGATATACATCCCCGCACCCTAAAGATTTTCCAGATGAATTACTGTATCTGATGCACAACCGCCATAATATTTGCAAGTGCATACATTTGCCAGCACAAACAGGGAGTACCACAGTGCTTGAAAGAATGCGTCGAGGATACAGTAGGGAGGCTTATTTAGAGCTTGTTCAGAAGATACGCAAAATCATCCCAGACGTCGGAATAACCAGTGATTTTATATGTGGTAAGTTATTATCATCTTATTCTGATTTATTATTTCGATTATATTCTTATATTTGAAACTTGGACATTTTACCTTTAGTATGGACTCGAAGGGTTGACATCAATTATCATTTACTGTAAAAAGAATCCGTGCTGTTGGTATTCGACGATCTGCAGATGCACTGCTGCTAGAGTTGCTATCAGTGGCAGATCTTAATCATGTATGAATGTTAACCTCAAGTTTCTGGTGTTCCCCTCTTATTATCTGGATCCTTGGGTGCAGGTTTTTGCGGTGAAACAGAGGAGGAACATACCGACACTCTAAGCCTGGTAAAGGCTGTTGGTTATGACATGGCATACATGTTTGCTTACAGCATGAGGGAGAAAACACATGCCCACAGAAACTACACCGATGATGTTCCTGAAGAAATCAAGCAAAGGAGGCTTACTGAACTTATCGAAGCTTTCCGCGAGAGTACGGGTCAGTGCTATGACTCTCAGGTTGGAGCAATCCAAGTTGTGCTGGTTGAAGGATCAAACAAGAGAGCTCCAGATATGGAGCTTATTGGAAAAAGCGATAAAGGTCATAAAGTTGCATTTGTTAATCTTCCTTTGGTAGATCGAGATAATCAAAGGGATAAGAAAAGGAATCCTGTTATCGGTGATTATGTAGAAGTTCATATAACAAAGTCTTCAAGAGCATCACTTTTTGGAGAGGCACTTGCTATAACTAGATTAAGCACGTTTTACAACGATGTGGGTGAACCAGCAATTGCCTGTGGTAGCACTAGTTGAAAAACTGCTCCTTTCGCAGCTTTCCACGCGTCAGGATTTTGTTGCATTGTGATCTTTCATATTCTATCTTTCACGATCTTAAAAGAAAATCTATCATTTATTTTATTTTATCTTGAGAAAAGGATAGCTATGATTGGAATTGAACTTAACAATTGCCTCGCCAAGAAAAGGAGAAGTTAAAAGAAAATTCCTTTCACGAAGATTAATAGCTTGAGATGCAGGTATTTGTGCTTGTCCTATCGTAATGGCTATGGTGAAAAATAGTGGAATAACTATTTTATTTTTATTTTAACTACAAAGTACATAAATTAGTAATATTAAATATCTAAGAAATAATTTAATAAAATCATGTCATAATGAAATAAAACGAATACCAAATTTATTTAATTAAAATATTTGGGACTTTGATGTCCCGAATACCAAGTCGATCCTATAATATCTGAAACTGAGAGTTAGGAAGAGTGAGCTAAAAGAACTCATTGTGGTCTAACAAACCAAGATGATATAATAACAGTACAAACAAAACAACTTTATAGTAGGCATAAAGTAACTACAACAATACATACAATTAACAGTTCGCATGTGAAGCCTAATTGAACTACAGAGCCAACCTACTCGTCAATTCGTTAACGGCAAACACTGCGAGTCTCCCACTGGATCCAAGTCTCCCAACACTACGAGCTGGGCCAAATGATAAATACAAGTCAACCCAATTTAGAAAACACTTCGAGTCACAGTCCAATTTACGACGCGAGTTGTCAGAACAACAAAAAGGTAGGAAATGGAACCTCAATAATCCTCAAACATGCAGTAGAGCATTATCTTGAAAGAAATTTTATACCGCAATGACTTTCTGTTAGGTCACTCGGCAATAATTCATCACTGAAAAATCAAAATTAACACCGACTTATTTCTCACATCTTGATTCACCAATTTAAAAATAAGTTCTCACCCAAGGCTAAGAAAACGAGACACTGGAGGAAGTGAAGAACTAGAGCAACCAACATCAGATGTGTCACTATGTTGTGAACAGACGCAATAACCAAACATTAGAAAAGCAACACAATCTAGAGGTTTTTATAAACCGTCTCAAAATCAGCATAGCATCGGAAGACGACAGATATAAGCAAGTGAAACTTTCAAGCCACGGCCTTTTTCTTCTCTTCCTCAAGCAGCTGCAGTTCTACCAGCCTTTCAGCCCAAGCTCTTTCCCTTGCCACAGCAGCCATCTTACGCTCTACTTGCTTTATCTTCTTCTTCCGATTAGCTTCTTGCAACTGAGCTTTCCTCTTCTTTGCCTCTGCCTGCTGAACCCAATGGTAAGACGTAAGCATTTTCTCCAGAATCAATCAATGCAATCTCCGGGAAGCCATGTCATAGGCATAATATGAAATTAATTACCTATTAAAGACAGATTCCAATGTAGTAGTCACAACCAAATGCTAGTTTTTAAATGAAATGAACCAAAAATTGAACAAGGAATTAATAACCAAAGTTATGAAATAAATTGGTTCATCCATACACGTAATTCAGCATTAGCCCTCATTTCACATTACGAACTAACTCCATAACGGCTTTGATTTAGTTACTCGCAATCGTTATATGAATCACCTCACCTATCCTATGAAAGAAAATAGAATAAAAATTCACAAGCTTTTTACCCTAGATTGTTCAGCCCATTACAGCAGAGATTAGGTCATAGCCCCCCAATTATTGATGTAGGTTGATTAGGTATTTGATTGATGTAACCAAAATCATATGAATATTGTATGGAAATTTCATATGAATATGTGAACTGTCCGTCCAGCTTATGAGTGGTGCCTGTCAACGTTCTTTTGGAAACAAGAAATAACTAAAAGAAACAGATAAGCTGGATGGTACCTTTCAGTCAACAAAACAAAAAAAATGATGTTTTTTTTAAGAAAAAGTTAATCAATTTGATGATAGCAAATGAGGGGAATCCACTCGGTCTAAATGAATACTTGGAGCAATGCATCATCAACATTAAGCAGGCTAAGCATAATCCTGCAAGCAGCAGCCATTAATGGTTATTAATTATAATTTTACTCACAGTCGGTGAGACAGCATTGAGCAGGACAAGGAACATGGAAACCTGCCACAATGAGTGATAAACTCAGTTGTAAAAACCATTTCATTACAGCCCTAAATAAACAAATCTTTTTTTTTCTCTCATTAAAAAAAAAGAAACAGCGTGGTGGGCAGTTGGTGGCCTTAACCTACGGTTGGAATTGGAAGCGAGAAATGGGACTTTCACTTTCCGCTAGTAGACACTTGTTTTTGTTCGGGTTTACAAAAATATTATTAATTTATTATTATTATTATTTATACATCTATTACATTTTGCAGGCCTTGAAGCCCAAACTAGATTACAACCCAACAGTTAAAGGGCCACCGTTTTCTCGATGTTTCGAAAGGTAAAATTTTAGATCTAGTGGGCTAGGGTGAGTTTTAGGTCACGGGGAGGCTAAATCTAGGTTGAAGGTGACAAGAGGGTTATTTTGGTTGTTTGGGTCGTTCGACCACCATGGGCCACCGTGATTACTGCCGGCGGCGGGGACCATTTTCTTCCCGATGAGGGGAAGTGGAGAGAGTCTCTCATTCTATCTCTTTTCTCTCGGTTTGGAAGGAAGCAAATGAGGGGCTGGGTTGATTTTAGGCCTTATTTTGTCCTTAAATATAACTCCCTGAACGACGTCATTCTGAGGGGTCTTCTGTGTGTTTTCAGCGCATGGGTTAATAGTCGTTTAGGTCCCCCATGCTTTGTAACCTTATTTTTCAACCACTTAATGAATTTCATTTTATTTTATTTCAAGCACTTATGTTTCAATATTTGTGATTTAGTCACTGATTTCATATGTAATGTATTATTGCTAATATTTGATTTAGATATGACATTTGTAAATATTTTCTTTTAGTCAGTGTCTTATATATGGTTTAATTAGTATTTGTTCCTTTATGTTTCTGGTTATTTTATTTTAGTCTTTTATATGATTTATGGATTGTTTTCATTTATAGTACCTGTACTGTTTAATATTTTTGTTTTTGGCTCTATTTTTTTGTATATTTATGGTTCAATCGTTTAAATTTCTATTTTTGTTATTTTAGTCATTTAAGTTTATGTTTTTTCTATTTCAGTCATTTAAATTTCTATTTTTCTATTTTAGTCCTTTAAGTTTTTGTTTGTGCTATTTTAGTCCTTTGAGTTTCTATTTTTCCTATTTTAATCCTTTAAGTTTTTATTTTTGCTATTTTGGTCCTCAATTTTCTGTTAATCATATTTTGGTCCTTTAATTTTTTATTGTTCTATTTTAATCCCTTATGAATGTAAATATTTAACATGTATATTTTTAGGTATAACATTAAATAAATGTTATTATTTTATGTTTTAAATATTTTATTTTTCATTTCTCATCACATTTGTTTCTATTATATTTCCTTAAATATTAATATTATTCGAATATTTCAAGAACACATATGCGTAGAATGAGCTCTAGACACGAGCTTCGATCCAAATAAGTCGGAGTGAATGCTTTATTCTCGTAAGAATTTATTCTTCGTATAAGTTTTAGTAAATAACCCATGGGATACATACCTTATACCTTCGTAGGGATTTATTCCTCGTATGGGTATAAGGCAGTGAATCCCCTCGAATTGAACTCGTTCTGTTTGAAACCTGTAATGGGTGAGGATCGAGGGTTTGGCAGCCCAAGGGAGTACCGACATCAAGGACAATTTGGGTACCTTTTTTCCCCTATTAGAACCAAAACCATGCATATAGTGAATCGTAGAACGGTCACCCTAGGTATAGTTATACCGAACCTCTGTCCGTCAGTAGGTACCCAAAATAAGTGTACACAAAAGAGGAGCATTTCTGAACTTTTCCTTTTTGCTTTAAATTCGGTTAAATATAAGCATGCGAACGAGATATCATGTGGATCAATTTCTTGAAAATAATCATTTTGGGTAAAAAACATGTCCGAGTAGGAATGTTATTTAATTAAAGCATGTTCGGGTAGATATCATGACAGGGTAGGTGTTATATTCATCTTTGAATAACATTTTTATTTATATTGATTGTCTCACTGGTACTAACTAATTTCTTTTATTTTGTTTGTGTACACTAATTTATTTCTTTTCTTTTGTTTGTATCATTTTTCATCATTTTTGCATTGCATTGCATTGTCATAACATAATGCAACAGTGTTGATCCGCAAGGGGATATTCGAGAGAAAATTTTCACAAGAAGAGATAAAAAATTTCAATCAAGTGGTCGCATACACAGACATGCACCGAAGGCTAAAAGAAGTTTAGAGTACAAGAATGAGACTTGCTCGAAGATCGGGCAACATTCGAGACCATAAAGATGATCCATTGATCTGAGGAGTAATCCAATAGTGGAGTATTATTTACGATCATCTCATTGCTAGTTATCAAGGAACGACACACTAACTTCAGCATTGTTGGGGCATTAACTGAGTTAGGTTACAGAACGCTTAAGGGGCATCATTTTCAAGGACAAAGATCCGAGACGAAACAGTGATCCACTCTAGACTCAACATCTAAGCGAAAGCATGTCTATAAAGTAGACTGTCTTGTAATGTGAAGGCTTTTATTTCTGGTGAAAATTATTCTACGATATTCATCGTTGGGTTCAACATTTTTGCATCTGCATTTGTATCTTTGCATTTTGCATCTGCATTTTATTTTTAAGCATTTTCACATGTATCATTCATAAAAACATGGGTTCAATTTGTGGAGAAGTCGATGGAAGTGATTCTGATCACCTGACCACATTCAGAATAGAAGCAAGAAGTTGAAATCAGTACGATGAGAGCTTGTTCGGCTGGTTGCAGGGTTGAGCCTTCTATGATGATCTGAGAAAAGAGTCCCCATATCTTGAGGGTTATGATGTTGAAGAAGGATGGGGGCATTGCATCTACCACTTGCATTGAGAGCAGTGTGTTGTTTGAACTCGTTTTTGTTCTGTCTTTGATATTTGTTTAAATATTTTTAATCTTCTGATTGAACTTATGATAGCTTCTAAGGTTGAATAATTGAACGAGTTTTAATCTTTAGTTCTTCGAATA